GTCTACTATGCACACCCCAGTCACGACACGGCAGCATGGGCACACGTCCTGGACGAGTTGGAGACCCGGTTCACCAACACATACAAGAGGCCATTCAACATCGGCGAAAGCGATGAGCTGTTCACACACATTCAACAGCTGGCGCCATGGCAGCTCAGCAGAGCACAAGCAGTATGGACACCAGCAGCCCGCAGGCTACCACTGGACATCCCTTACACACACAGGGGATGCGCCTACAAGAACACACAAGGCCAGATAGCACTCGAGCACGAGGACCTGAGCGCAGTGGCCTACCCAAAGCAGAGGTTCGCAGAGGCCATACGTGTTGCACTGTTCTTCTTTGGAATACCTCCTGAGGAAGAACCGCCTCCAGAGGAACATCCAGAGGCAGAACTTCATGAAGCACTACCTCACACACCGGCCACAACTTCCACTCGACGAGTGCAAGGCCTCGAAACCGACATATACTTTGACGGCGGCCCACCATTGACACAGCAACAAAGGACATCCATAGCAAGACTCCACTGCAACTTGGGACACCCGCCCAAGGCCGAGATCGTCCGCATTCTGGCAGCCGCCGGGAAGCTGGACTCCAAGATCCTCAGTGCACTCGATGCCCTGCGCTGTGGTTCATGCACCCGTATGACCAAAACAGTGAAGCCACCGCCAAGCTCGACATCAACCACCAAGTTCTCAGGTGCTTTCGGCGACCACCTGCAGTCCGACATCATCTACATCCGCCTGCTGACAGGCGAAGCCATTCCCACGATCGGCATCGTCTGTATGTCGACCAACTACCATGCAGCCAAGACCCTGCAGGACCGCTCACCAGACCATGTGCTGGACGTGATGCACGAGATCTGGTACAGACCTTTTGGACTACCTCTCTCCATCACCCTTGACTCCGACGGAGCATACCTAGCAAGCAACCAAGCATGGCATCAGCACCTCGGCATTGAACACAATGTCATCCCTGCAGAAGAGTCCTGGCGCCTTGGCAAGATCGGCCGACGAAACGCACTCATGCGCACCTTGGCCGAACGGCTGATCGACCAGACTGGAGCCGTGACCAGGCATGACCTCGACCTGATCCTCACAGCCGTACTGAACAGCATGAACACCTCCACCTACACCTATGGCCGCTCACCATGCCAGGCGGTGTTCGGCAGGATTCCCAGGCCGATCGGAGACATTCTGTCAGACCAGACGGCATTGTCCATATCGCCACAGCTGCACCCAGAACAATAAGGACTACAACCAGAACTGCTCAGAGCGGAAGCGCTCACCGCCTTAGCACAGTTCTCAGCATCGCAATCCATCCGGAGAGCACTACTCCGGAAGACACGCAACCAAGGCGATCCAACGAGCCTTGAACCAGGACAAACAATCGCCTACTGGCGACAACAAGGCCGCTCACGGCAGCACAAGAAGGGAGCATGGAACTTAGCCAGGTTCCTGGCACTCGACCCAGACCGCAAGTCTGCTTGGGTCCAAGTCGGCAAGCACTCCCTGAAGATTGGCGTCACCCAGATTCGGCCGGCAGCAGGATGGGAGAATTGGGTACCGTCCCAAGAAGACCTCGAGACCATCCGCCAGGCAGAACACAACATCTCCAACCACCTGTGGGGCGATGACACAGGTGAAGCACCAGCAGAGGGCACCGCCCTACCAGAAGACGAGATCTTCGAGTTCCGACCAACCAAGCAGCCACGCCTGGAACACCAGGCGCGACAGTACGATGAAGACATGCCCGAACCTGAAGCAGCACCCTTTTCCCAGGCTCAGCCAACCGCAGAGCCGTACAGTTTGGCGACACTGCCACCACCGATAGACCATGGACAAGCATCTGCAGCCACTGCAAGTGTGGAGACAAACATTCACCAGCAGCAGCAGATGAACATGCAGCAGACCAACACACAGCAGATGGTGAACGTCCACCAGGATCGCAGAAAGATCACGGTCAACATCGACCCACCGACATACCAAAGGTACGGTCCTGAGCCATCGTTTGGGCCAACACCCCCAACACCGCGATCCATGAGAGGCCGAACAAGGGCTTCCAGGCACACCGACTGCTCCATATCCACCCGTCGGCCAAGAACAAAGACCAGCACCGAGTACACCAGTGCCTGTCTTGACCGACGCCGATACAGCACCAACAGGACACGCAACTGAGCAAGCAGCCACATCCGCATTGCCCAGCGGCGACAGTGCACCCAACACCTACCTCAACCGGTGGGTACAGCAGTTCATCACATACGATGACGGCGCGGCAGCACCCAGAGAACCTCACTGGGATGGCAGCCCTGACTACAACAGCACTTCTCGACCATGCAACCAGTTCTACCAGGCATACCTCAACAGCAGCAAGCGCAAGCAGGAACTGGCAGAACAAGGCATAACGCACAAGCCCAATCAGTCCGACACCGAGACCTCCGATGGCGACTTGACACAGTCCAACCAGCGACAACTCACCAGGCAAGAGCTCAAGCAACTGGACCGAGAGCTGCCTTGGAGAGAGATCATGGCAATGCCCTGGCCCGCCATTGAGAAGTTCATCGAATCGGCCTACACCGAGTATGAAGGCTGGATGAACTGGTCAACCATCAGGCCACTCACCAAGGACGAAGTCAAGCAAGTCCTGAGCGACCCTGTGCTGAAACGCCGCATTTTGCGGTCAAGAGCAGCCTACAAGGACAAAAGCCGAGGCATCGGCGAGCTACGAGCGAAGACTCGTGTGGTGCTGATTGGATGCGCAGACCCCGACCTTCGGCAGCTGACACGTGACAGCCCAACACCTATGTTGTCCGAGACCATCATCATGGCCATAGCTGCAAGTGGTGCCAACCGCCTCTTCCAAGGCGACGGCAAAAGCTGGTCCCTCTGGCTGTCAGACGCCGAGAAGGCATTCCTACAAGGTGAACAGGACAGCTCAGAGAGGTACGACCTTCCTTTGTTCATGGAGCCGCCCAACGACCCAATCATCAAGGCCTCGGGCGCCTACTCAGCAGAGTTGTACCAAATCACCGGCAACTGCTATGGCCTCAGCAATGCTCCAAGAGTCTGGTACAAGAAGGTCGATCGCACGGTCAAAGAGGCTGACTTCAAGCAACACACCTTCGACCGGTGCTTCTACTACCACCACGGCGATGACGGCCTTCTCGACTGTCTGATGATCGTCCACGTTGACGACTTCATGGCCGTGTATGCCGAGACCTTCAACCTGGACATCCTCCGGAACCTCTTCTCATGGGGCAGCGTGACCTTAGTCTCATCCGAGAAGCCCGGCACCTACAGAGGAAAAGAAATCTCCTTGCACCAGGTGAACGGCAAGTGGCACTATCAGGTCACACAGCGGGACTTCATCCAAACCATGCACGTCGGCAAACTGGCCAAAGGACGACTGCAAGGTGACCCGCAGCTGACCACTGACGAGGTCAAGGAGTACAGAAGCATTTGCGGCTCACTCCAATGGCTCGGTGGACAGACTAGGCCAGATGTCTGTGCGACAACATCTTTGACCCACCGTGGAGGCGCTGCACAGATCCAAGACCTCAACAAGCTCTACCAAGTGATGGAGCATGTGAAGGAAAGCAAAGATCAAGGCCTGATCTTCGCCGGGATCCCTCTCAACATGGCATCGGTGATCGTGACACTCACCGACTCGAGCTGGGCCAATGCAGAGAAGCGCAAGTCCCAGTACGGACTTTTGGTGACATTGTGCCCACCACAAGTGACACAGGTCACCTGCGGCGCAGTTCTCCTCGACTGGAAGAGCGGGAGATCACCCCGCGTATGCCGCAGCACGCTCGCTGCAGAAGCGTGTGCCGCCGACGAAGGCGGCGACAGGGCCAGCTTCGTCAACTACTTTTTGACGGAGCTCCTCCATGGCATTCCGTCCTACGAGGGCCGAGCTATGCTGTCCAGCATGCTGTGCGTGGATGCCAAGAGCCTCTACGACTGCCTCATCCAGGAGAACCAGGAGAACCCCTCCGTGAGTGAGAAGCGGCTGATGGTCGAATTGAGAAGTGTACAGCAGGTCTATGAACCAAAGAACGTGAGGTGGATCCCCACCCACTTGATGCACAGCGACGGCCTGACAAAGGTCGATGATGCATTGATGTGTGCACTGCTCCTGTGGTGCCAGTCCCCTTGGGTCCAGTTGGTGGAAACCAGCAAAGCCCTGAAAAACAAAGACCAGTGTGAAATTGAAGCGGTATGAGCCGTTTGCTGGTTGCCACCGCGGTCCAAGATGGCCGATTGAGCCAGGTTTTCACTTTGCACTGCTGCGCCATGGCATGAAAGATCGATCTGGCAGTTTGCTGTGAAGCCGTTTTCGCTTTTTGTTCCGCAAGGTGTATTTGCAAACACCATTGCTAGAACTAGTAGCGATGGCCTCCACCTGGACCTAGTAGCTTCTAGCCACTAGTAGCTTCTTGTTACTAGTAGCTATCGACAGATCTCTTTGGCAGACCCGCGCTGCCACAAGCACATGCAGCCTTGCTTGGCATTTGTATGGACATGTGTTGTACGTTGCTTTGAGCCGCATGCTTTGCCCTTTTGCTCAGAGACCTCCCTGAACTTGTGCCAACTTAAAGCTGTCAGCCAGGGTGGAGAACAGCTTGACGAGTTTGACGCATTTTGAATTGTTTGACACTGGGAGCTGGCAATGTGTATCTATTGCGCGTCTCCATCGTTTCTGTTTGGATGAGACCTGCTCATGAGCTCCTGAAATACATCTCTTATGCAGACAGTCTGGAAGTTGTCAGATGTGGCAGCTTGTCCCACCCTTGTATTCGGAGCCGGGTTTAACTGCTCCAGGACAGACTTCAAGACAACAAGACGAACACGTGGCAAAGCCACAAGTTCGGCCTGAGCAAGTCATTCCAGGGAAAAGGTTCGCGCCAAAGGCTGCCCACCGAGAGCCACATAGGTGAATGATATTGAATGCCTGGTGAATGTCCATGGCATTCCATGGCCCTTTTTCAGAGAGCTTTGAGGTTGCGTGCCGTTGCTTTTGGAATGCCTGCGTGGTCGAGAGGATTTGGGGCTTTGGGCAGAGTGCAGGTAGTGCGCATGCATTGTATGCATGGTTTTGAGGTTTTTATTTTGAACTCCCCAAGTGCTTCCATGTTCTGGCTGTACGGACACAAGGACGAGACACCCGGTGAGTCTAAAGAACTTCCGGTTAGGGGGTAGCTGCGTAGGGCAATTTAGCAATAGCGATGGAACCTTCTAGCGATGGCCTCCAACCTACGAGCGATGGCCTCCAACCTACTAATTAGCAATGGCTTTTGCTTGCATGAGGGGGCCCCCCCTGGCACAGGTGGCGGGGAAGGGGCCGAGTGTCGAGGTCTGAAGGTGAACCAACTAACAAAAAAGGAAGACCAGGGAGAGGAAGTCCCGGAAGTAGTACCAACGGCCGTCATGGCCCAACCAGACAAGCATGTCTAGCCAACGAAGTGCCCTTCTTCAGTCGTTTTTGCAAAATATTCCACGTCTCAAGAGGGTACTGCCAAGAAAAGGCACAAGGCGTGTCCGGAGAGCAAGGATCAATGGCAGGCATCCAATCATACGAACAAGGGCGAACACGCTGATGGAACTCAACCGTCAAGATTTCTGCAACTTGAGCCTGGCACGGAAACTCCGGGCGATGAGACCAGCCAAAGACACACGTGCCAGCTCCTTGCCTATACAAGGAACAAATGCGAGCTCGGCGGACATGCGCCGGAATAACAGATCGGCAACAAAGTGAGATCACTTGACTGACCATGCCAGCAAATTGAGTCGCGCATTCATTCCAAGTATAATTGAAGGCAGCAGCTTCTGACTTAGTACGAGCCCAAGCGAAAGAGTGGCAGTGTGTGGCAGCAGGCCTATGCAACGGGATATAGCCTTTGGCATAGAGCATAAAGCTCAGCGCAAGTTCCATCCACGAAACACCTACCCTGGTGTGTTCCGGAGCTAATGCAGGATCACCCAGAGGCCAAACAAAAGCGCTGAACCAGGACAATATGCAGAGCAAAAGGCTGGAACCCCAGTATGAATGGCCAAAGACATGGTGCTCAGTCGCCGCCGGCCAATCCATTCTCCATCCATGTGGAATTGACCATTTACCCAAAAGGTCACTAAAGGCTGAAGCCTGTTTAGCCGGGTGCGGTTCATCAGGATTAAATGAAGCAGGTTGGTGAGCTTCAACTGCCTTCCGATGAATCTGCAGCGCCAGGGAAAGCTGATAAAATTCCTGCAGGATACGAATATCCTCTTGGCCCTGGCGGGCGTGAGCTATCCAAGTGTCAGTCAGGGCCGTATGGGTCCGAAGACATGCAGCCTCAGCAGCCTGGTCTGCTGCAGCATTGCCCAAGGCATGGTAACATTGCAGGTCCGGCAACGTGGCGGGAGAGACATGGCCCTTAATCTTAACTACCCTGTTGCAATCCCGAAAGGGAAGGCCATTGGTGCTGCATGAAGCGTGGCAATAGCACTAGCCGAGTCCGAATGAATGATGACATGACTGAAGCTTTCCTGCGCTCGAATGATGGCTAAAAGTTCGGCATGGTGAATCTGCTGTTCCTGTGGACAGAGTTCTTGAATCACCACATGAAAAGTGGAAGGGACTTGACCTGTTTCCTTGAACCGTTGGGCATACCAAATGCGTTCCTGGTCACTACGACAGGAGTCGAGAACAACACTGTACCCAGCAAAGCGCAGGGTGGGCAAAGCAGGGTACTGGCAACTGCCATCAGTGTATACATGCAGTGGGTTATCCGCCGTAATCCCCTGGAGCAAGGACTGCAGCAAAGGTCCACGCAAAGGACGCTCTTGGATCGCAAACTGAAAAGTGAATCGAAATTCTTCATCAACATTCTCAAAAATGACAGGAAGTTCCGGCAAAAGCGTATCCACCTCCTGGATGGTGGCCAGCAAGCTGGAGAATTTGTCACGAATTGGCTGGGTAGCCGTGCAAGAGAAGTATCGATGATACTTGGTGTCTTCCTGGCCACACCAAGGACAATTGGGAGTGATCTGGTCGGCCCAAACGGCTTGTTGGCTCCGGGTCTGAAAGGCACCATTCGCGCTCACAAGGAGTGAATTTGGCAAGAACCGTTCTGGTCAAATGCTGATCAATGTTGGGAAAACTCATCAGAGCTCGGCGATGAGTATGCTGAAGTAAAAGCTTATCCTGCCAAGCACGTTCAGCAAAGTAAATCAGCGTGTGCCAGGGACACGTGAGAAACGGCAAGTTGACAAAAGTGGCTACCTGATTCATGCCCTTGTTATCAAATGTCCAACCAAGACGGGCAATGTATGTCTTGAGGGTCGAGGCTGGTCCTTTGGAAGTATTTGGACGGGGGAAAAATTGAGCAACTAACTTAAAGAACATGGCCTGAACGGCTCGGGGCTTGGTCAGCAAGAAGCGCCGAGCAGCAGCGCAAGCATGTAGAATAAGCTGGAGCTCAGGGTCCCGTATATACTTAGAGGCACAAAGCGTAACCAAGACTGATGACATGCTCTCCGAAGGGCCTACCAAAGCTTCAGCAACATGGAACCTCAAAGACTTGGTATGTTGTTGTCCAAGAGGAAAAAGCTCCGCACCATGGAAAGCAACCGAATAAATGCTCGAACTAATGACCTGAGCCCTAACGTCAATGTCCACATGAGACTTTTTCAAGCGGGAGAGGCGTTCTTTGGCTTTTCGCAAACGATTGCCAAGCTTGGCTAAACGAGCAGCTCCTTGATATCGCAAAGGGCACCCAAGATCTGATGCAAATTGCACTCTCTCAATGGTTGGTAGCTGCAACCTGTTAAAGACAGCTCGGATGGTGGGAGCAAGACTATTGTGCGAAGCCCACCACCATGTCTTAGACCAGTCAATCTTCAGACCAATCAAGCGAGTCCACTGAAGTGTGATCTCAAGGATGGGCTGCGTCTCACGAAGGTCACGAACAGCCCAAGCCCAGTTATCAGCATAAGCTGACAGCGTTGGCTGCATGGATGTGGCTTGCCGACAGGCAATGGTCCAACACTGGGCAACCCCTAACATGACGAGAACCGAAAAGACGTCCCCTTCGGGGAAGCCACAACAGCTCGGTAGAGGGTCCGAGCACTGACCGCAGACCTCCCAGCGACGAGTCAGTCTAGACAAGGAGCGAGACCATTGGTGCAGGATGGTCCGTGGAACACCGAGTCGTTCCAGGATGCTGAGCCCACGAGACCTATTAATAGCGTTAAAACATTTGACAAGATCAAGGGTGATGCCTGCACATTGCTCCTCGTTACGGTAGGCTTGCTCGAAGAACCATTGGGCAGAGTATGCTGCCTCGAAAGCACCTCTGGCGGCGAGGAGCCCCGTGATGTCACAAGTCATGTGCTGTCCAAAGGCAGCTAAGATCTACACGGTAGATCTGGGACAAGACTGTTATCGGTCGAACCATGCTCGGGGTCGGGAGTCCCTGCCCCTTAGGGGCTGCTGCAAAGACACGAGAGGACATGAACCATGCCGGGAGTCCATCTGGGTAATTATGGACCACCTGTATCAAGGACTCAATGAGGGATGTTGGCAACGACTGGAGTTCAAAGGCAGTAATGCCGTCGGGGCCAGGTGCTGCATTCCATCTCAGGCTCTTAATCACAGACAGCCAGGCTGCAAGGCTCGTGGTGTCCACCTGTATATTATGGCTCGGCAAGAGTTCAAGAAAATGAGCAAAGTTCAGTGCTGAGCAAATGGGAATCGTCCCTTTGCCAGATTGGCGACCAAAAATGTAACAGCTGGTGACAAACTTGGTTAGGATTGGTCACAAGCACTCTTTGCTCAAGCTCAACCTGTTCGAGATCATTTGGCCGGGAAGCACACGAGACAATGATTGAGGCATCATGGATTTCATGTAGCCAGCCTGCCTTCTTATCAAGGGAGGTCGGTTGGCCCAGTTGAAATTCGGACGTATCGTCAACAAAGGCTTCAAATCTCTCAGGCGCTTTGGACGAAAGGCGGCAAGAGAATGGGACAAGGATAGCCTGTTCGGATTCCAAGGTCGGTGTGGAACCACGAACAGAAGCGAATGTGAGCTTATTATGACCCAAGCGTTTATCTTGCTGCAAGCGAAAACTTTGCTTATCTTGAAAGATCTTCTGATCCAAGTGCACCGCAGACTGGACTGTATATTGCCAAAGTTGCACAAGGTCATTCAACCAATGTTGAGTGGGCAGACCCCAGGGGGAAATGGGCTAAGCTCCGGCCATTGGGAAATCCAAGCAACAAAAGACAGGCGTAAACAAATCGGAGAATCCTGCGCCATTCAGACACAAGGCAATCCAAATTCAGGCACTTATCCCTTTTGCGGCATAACGACTGCAGTCGACGAAGCTGCTTGATCATGCTGGCAGTCTGCGCCCGTGTATTTCACATGCCGGTTCAAAATCACCTCTCCGAGCTTTAGGAACAAGTGAAGTCATAAGAACCTGCTTGGACCTGGTGTGTTGGCACCGCCCCCGAAAAGAACGAGGTAGTCCCCGTGGGAGATTGGCGCTCGAGGGAGCCTTGCGCAATGCCACATCCACAGTTTGCTCCACACATACCCCCCAAGCCTCCAAGGTAGTTGGAGGGGGAAGGTGATGTAGGTCTGTGGTCGCAGCCCAAGGTCAGTGAAGGCCTTCGGACGGGGCCAGACTTGCTTAGTCAAGTTACCAATCTGGGCCTGCAACGAGAAAAGAACCACCTTATGAGCATCAAACAATGGCTCTTGAAGCGCCCTGATAGCTTGCAATCTAGGTAGAAGCTCAGGGGAAAGAAAAGCCGTGTCTGGATTGGTGGCGTCCTTACATGTGGGCGGCATACTCTGACCGTACAAGTGGGAATAGAGCTGTTGCAAATGCAAGAAGCCGTTACGAGCCAATGCACTAGTAGCAGCCAGTTGAGAGGCATCAGCATTGAAATCACCCATGATGATGGCTGGCAAATTGATCTGCTGTACTCTCCGGGCTGCCAGTGCCAATAGATCGTTGTTGAAGTCCTGGGCGCCAGCGTTGGATTGCGCAAGACCA